TCTATCTATCTATCTATCTATCTATCTATCTATCTATCTATCTATCTATCTATCTATCTATCTATCTATCTATCTATCTATCTATCCCCCCTTCTCTCTCCAACTAGTTTTATGCTGTAAACAATTATAATAGGGGATCTATCTGTCTATTTGTCTGTCTGCCTAGCTAGCTATCTCTATCTATCATCCAGCTATATATCTGTCTGTCTGTCTGTCTCTCCGTCCCCCTTCTCTCTCTAACTAGTTTTATTCTGCAAAGAATTATAATAGGGGATCTATCTGTCTGTCTGTCTGTCTGTCTAGCTAGCTAGCTATCTCTATCTATCTATCATCTATCTGTACTGTGTTTCCCAAAAAACAAGACAGGGTCTTATTTTCTTTTGACCCCCGAAATAAGTGCTTGGCCTTATTTCTGGGGAGGTCTTATTATTTTTTGAGGTGCAGGAGGCGGCAAGCGTGGTCACCTCATGGCTGCTGCTGTGTGGCAATATTTTCAGGGAGGGCTTATTTTCGGGGGAGGGCTGATTTTAGCGCATGTGCTCAAAAGCCTGATTGGGCTTATTATCCGGGGAGGTCTTATTTTCAGGGAAATAGGTTATCTATCTATCTATCATCTATCTATCTATCTATCTATCTTTCTTTCTTTCTTTCTTTCTTTCTTTCTTTCTTCCTTTCTTTCTTTCTCATCTTTATCCCATGTTCATTGTTTTATGCTGGCAAACATACCTAATACCAAACTCGACTGCAGAAAAGACAACTTCAGCAACAGAGTGGTCAATGCCAGGAATGTGTTACCTGAATCAGTGGTTTCTTCCCCAAATCCCCAAAACTTTAACCTTAGACTGTCTACTGTCGACCTGACCCCATTCCTAAGAGGTCCGTAAGGGGTGTGCATAAGCACACCAATGTGCCTACCGCCCCTCTCCTAACAGCCCCATTTATTCGTATCCATTTCATGTATNCTGAACTGCTGAACTAGCAGTCAGCTGAAGTGGCCTGCAGTACTGCACTCTACCCACTGCACCACCTCGGCTCTATAAGCCCCCTCCCCCCAAAATAAGGCCAAGCCCTTATTTCTGGAGTGAAAAGAAAGTAAGACCCTGTCTTATTTTCGGGGAAACGCGGTAGATAGATACTCCATTGCTGTACCTATTTATTGTTAGGTAATTTTTTATCCTTTTTCGGTTGGGTAACAATTAGAATGACACCTGTTTTACTTTACTGTAGCAAGACTTGTATTTTGAAAATGTATATGACACACATAGAGACGCCTACATCTACGTAGCATTGATAGCACATTTACATTTGAAGAAAATCTTAACTTTTTTTGTTATGCCTTGCAAGAAAGTTTTGTTGTCACAGTTACCAGTAGAATTAGCACATCAACGGTAGGAGTTGCATAAACTAATAGGCTATTAAAAAGGGATTTTTATAATGATGAAACTGACAACGCAAATGCCAGCACTTTCAGCTTCTTCTCATAATCATTCCCTTCAGCCAGTTGCTCTACAGGTAATGTACTTAAATTAGGAATGTTTTATGCAGAATGAATAATGTATACGAGTGGCTTTCTACAAATGTGCTCAGCAAGATAACAAACAATGAAATACATCTAATAAGCCCTTGAAATGCAACAGTCCGAAGGAAATTAGGAATAGTGATTACAATTCCTAATAGTGTAACTATTCAAATATTTTTAAAGGGTAATTTTATTAGTACAGGGGCATAATATAAATGCCTTACCTTCGGTATGGTTTTTGCTTAACAGAATTAAAGTGCATTTGCTTTTTATGTTCCCAGGGACTACTGACGAGCGGTGTTGAGTTTGAATCCCTCCCTGCAGCTCTCTCTTTGCCTGCTGAATCTGGTCTCTACCCTGTGACCCTTGTTGGTGTTCCTCAGTGCCCAGGCCAGATCAATGTCAACGGTAAAGATTACAAACAGGTTTTTCTCTACATTGAGAAGTGTAGCTTCTGCAGACCATTTCAGATTGGGTGCGATTATTTTTTTCAAATGAGGCCAGAATCGTTCTTCTCTAAGTTAATATTATTACATCCTAAACAGTAATGAAAAGGGCGACGTTTTTATTGCCACGTTTCAAGGAAAGCATTTAGGGAACTAATAATCCTTGGGACCAGAATTTCCATTGCTAAACAAGGCAGTTGTTGAATTGAGTTGCGCCTGACTTTATGGCCGTTTTTGCTGTCGTTTTTAAATGCTTCACTACAGAACTATGAATTGTGCAGTCCTTATGTGAATCTGTCTTCCCCCATTGACTTTGGGAAGCTGACTGGGAAAGGTGCAAATATTGATCACATGACCCTGGGATGCTGCAGTCATCCTAAATACATGCCAGTCAGGGGTGGGTTCCGGCTGTCGCCACTGCCGGTTTGCTCAGGGATGCGCCCCGCGCGCATGCGCGGTGCAGCAAAAATTACTCTGCGCATGCACAGAAGGCAAAAGCAAGATGGTGGCACCTACGGCGCCACCGAGATAACCAGTTTGAGGGTGTGGCATGCGTGGGTCGCTGCCGGTTCCAGCGACCCAGGCTGCCAAGTTACTACCGGTTCAGCTGAGCCGGGCCGAACCAGTAGGAACCCACCTCTGATGCCAGTTGCTAAGGGCCTGATTTTGAGCACGTGATTGTGAGGTTGCTGTGAGAATTGGTGCAGGACACAAAAGTGTAACTCACTTTTTTCAGCACTGTTGTAACTTCAAACAGGCTCTTAAAGAATGGTTGTAAGTTGAGGTCTAACTACGTATATTAGAGTCCCCTGCACATGTGGTGATCTGGACTGAAGCTATGCATGCAATTTGTTTGACAAAAAACAGGCCCGTTTTCACAAAAAACGGACCATTTTTTGTTCGTCCCCCCCCCCCCCAGGAGCACTCTGCAAG